ATAAGATATCTTATATGTTTATAAGATATCTTATATGTTTATAAGATATCTTATAAACATATAAGATATCTTATAAACATATAAGATATCTTATATAATTTATAAGATATCTTATATACTTTACGAGATATCTTATATAATTTGGTTAAGTACTGGATCAACATTGCTCCATGAATAAATGACAACTTGGCTTGCCATACTCACATCGCAAACCCAGTACATGGTGGAGAATACAAATTGGACATAATGTGAAGTGGAATAACTTTGAGTGTGGTTTTGGCCCCGGCACTTGCCGGTCGAGTTGCATTTTTTGTTTAATTAACGTGTGTCGGATGTCAGGCAGATGTTTACCACGTTTTATTTATTGAATGACTTTCTGTCCCGTGTTGCATGTATCGATGCCGTGATGACTGATGTGACTTATTTGTAAATTGATCAACTCACCACTATGATTCCGGATAAAGTGTTGCACATTTTGAAAACTTGCGATTTGGAGCTCGCTAATTTAGACTGTTCTTTTGTTTTGAGTGAGAACATGAACAGTGTTTCCCTTACGTTAAAATGGACAAAAGTAAGCATGCCATATCGTAAACCAAATGCTAATACTTCAAAAGCGAGTGACAGTGTGCAGGCACCTCCTGTTCAAATTACCAGGAAGCACAAGTCGCCGTCCCAACTCCAATATGACAGGAAACGAAGGAGAGAGTGGAAACAGAGGAAAAGGTCTTCCCATGAAAAGAAACCGATGTCTCCTGATCATTCACCATATCCACGAAGATCTACTGGTGAGCCACCCGTACAACATGAAGATAAACATATTTGTAATACTGTGAGTGTGGAACCAGTTTGTGAGAAACTTGATGCAAAACCCAAGGTTCAACATCAACACCCAGCTACTTTTGCCCCAGTGCTACATAATGCTATTGTTAATCATGTATCATCTCATTCTGTGCCGTCTCCGGGGTGGGGGGTGGGGGATGTTATATACATGGTATATATTATATTATAACCATCAATAAGATATCCGGAATTAACCGTTTTGTGTATTATTGTATTTCGTCTCCGTATCTTGTTTCTATGTTTTGTTGTTTGACTTCCTGGGAATAAAATGAAAAGTTGAAGAGTGAAGTTGTTTCGATTCATCTCTTAACGATCCTCTCACATCGCAAACCTAGTACATCTCTTAGGACCACCGACTCTATCTTTCAGGATTACCGACACGGTGATATCTGTTCGAACCACCGACTCTGTCTGTCGATAATACCGACGAGGGGATGTCTGTTAGGAACATCAACCCAACTTTCAGGAATAACGACCAGTGGGTATCTGTTAGGACCACCAACTCTATCTGTTAGGTTAACCGATAAGGGGTTATCTGTTAGGACCACCCACTCTGTCAGGATACCTACAATGTGGTATCTGTTAGGACCACCGACTTTATCTGTCAGGATAACTGACAAAGGGGTATCTGTAAGGACCACCGGCTCTGTCTGGTCAGGATTACCGACAAGGTGGTATATGTAAGGATTACCGACATTATCTGCCAGGATTACCGACAAAGGGCAATATGTTAGGACCACCGACGTTATCTGTCAGGATTACCGACAAGGGAGTATCTGTTAGGACCACTGACTGTATCTGTCAGGGTAACCGACAAGGGGGTATCTGTTAGTACCACCGACTCTATCTGTTAGGACCACCGACTGTATCTGTCAGGATTACCGCCAAGGGGGAATCTGCTAGGACCTGCGACTGTATCTGTCAGGATTACCGACAAGGGGGCATCTGTTAGGACCACCGACTGTATATCTGTTAGTACCCCCGACTCTATATGTTAGGACCACCGACTGTATCTGTCAGGATTCCCGACAAGGGGGTATCTGTTAGGACCACCGACTGCATCTATCAGAATTACCGACAAGGGGGTATCTGTTAGTACCACAGACTTTATCTGTTAGTTCCCCCGACTCTATCTTTCAGGATTACCGACAAGGGGGTATCTGCTGGGACCACCGACTGTATCTGTCAGGATTACCGACGAGGGGGTATCTGTTAGTACCACAGACTTTATCTGTTAGTTCCCCCGACTCTATCTTTCAGGATTACCGACAAGGGGATATCTGTTAGGACCACCGACTGTATCTGTACAAGGTGGTATATGTAAGGATTACCGACATTATCTGCCAGGATTACCGACAAAGGGCAATATGTTAGGACCACCGACGTTATCTGTCAGGATTACCGACAAGGGAGTATCTGTTAGGCCCACTGACTGTATCTGTCAGGGTAACCGACAAGGGGGTATCTGTTAGTACCACCGACTTTATCTGTTAGTTCCACCGACTCTATCTTTCAGGATTACCGACAAGGGTATATCTGTTAGGACCACCGACTGTATCTGTCAGGATTACCGACAAGGTGGTATCTGTTAGGACCACCGACTTTATCTGTCAGGATTACCGACACTGTGGTATCTGTTAGGACCACCGACTCTTTTCTGTCAGAATTACCGACAAGGGGGTATCTGTTTGGACCACTGACTCTACCTGTCAGAATTACGGTATCTGTTAGGACCACCGACTGTATCTGTCAGAATTACCGACAAGGGGGTATCTGTTTGGACCACTGACTCTACCTGTCAGAATTACGGTATCTGTTAGGACCACCGACTGTATCTGTCAGGATTACCGCCAAGGGGGAATCTGCTAGGACCTGCGACTGTATCTGTCAGGATTACCGACAAGGGGGGATCTGCTAGGACCTGCGACTGTATCTGCCAGGATTACCGACAAGGGGGTATCTGCTAGGACCACCGACTGTATCTGTCAGAATTACCGACAAGGGGGTATCTGTTTGGACCACTGACTCTACCTGTCAGAATTACGGTATCTGTTAGGACCACCGACTGTATCTGTCAGGATTACCGCCAAGGGGGAATCTGCTAGGACCTGCGACTGTATCTGTCAGGATTACCGACAAGGGGGTATCCGTTAGTACCACAGACTTTATCTGTTAGTTCCACCGACTCTATCTTTCAGGATTACCGACAAGGGGATATCTGTTTGGACCACCGACTGTATCTGTCAGAATTACCGACAAGGGGGTATCTGTTTGGACCACTGACTCTACCTGTCAGAATTACGGTATCTGTTAGGACCACCGACTGTATCTGTCAGAATTACCGACAAGGGGGTATCTGTTTGGACCACTGACTCTACCTGTCAGAATTACGGTATCTGTTAGGACCACCGACTGTATCTGTCAGGATTACCGCCAAGGGGGAATCTGCTAGGACCTGCGACTGTATCTGTCAGGATTACCGACAAGGGGGTATCCGTTAGTACCACAGACTTTATCTGTTAGTTCCACCGACTCTATCTTTCAGGATTACCGACAAGGGGGTATCTGTTAGGACCACCGACTGTATATCTGTTAGTACCACCGACTCTATATGTTAGGACCACCGACTGTATCTGTCAGGATTACCGACAAGGGGGTATCTGTTAGTACCACAGACTTTATCTGTTAGTTCCACCGACTCTATCTTTCAGGATTACCGACAAGGGGATATCTGTTAGGACCACCGACTGTATCTGTCAGGATTACCGACAAGGGGGTATCTGCTAGGACCACCGACTGTATCTGTCAGGATTACCGACAAGGTGGTATCTGTTAGGACCACCGACTTTATCTGTCAGGATTACCGACACTGTGGTATCTGCTAGGACCACCGACTGTATCTGTCAGGATTACCGACACTGTGGTATCTGTTAGGACCACCGACTCTTTTCTGTCAGAATTACCGACAAGGGGGTATCTGTTTGGACCACTGACTCTACCTGTCAGAATTACCAACAAGGGGGTATCTTTTAGTACCACCGACTCTATGATCAGCATCATTTTGATTTCCCCCTCCCGACTCGACTCCAGTTATCTCGTTTGCACTGACGACACTTCGATATCGAAAATATCAGGAATTATCTTTAGTCAGTCAAAATGAACTGAAAGTTTAGAACGTTAATATTTGTCCAATGCTCATACCGATATTATCGCAAATATATATCAAACTGATGTTCCGACTTCACGGTAAATATGATTTACCGATTCACGTTCATATCAGTATGCTATTGGTGAGCAGTACTTGTATACCAACATGCTATTGGTGATCAGTACTTGTATACCAGCATGCTATTGGTGAGCAATACTTGTATACCAGCATTCTATTGGTGATCAGTACTTGTATACCAGCATGCTATTGGTGATCGGTACTTGTATACCAGCAGGCTTTTGGTGAGCAGTCCTTGTATACCAGCATGCGATTGGTGAGCAGTACTTGTAGACCAGCATTGCTATTGCAGATCAGTTCTTGTATACTAACATGCTATTGCTGATCATTACTTGTATACCAGCATGCCATTGGTGATCAGTACTTGTATACCAGCATGCTATTGGTGAGCAGTACTTGTATACCAGCATTGCTATTGCTGATCAGTTCTTGTATACCAGCATGCTATTGCTGATCAGTACTTGTATACCAGCATGCTATTGGTGATCAGAACTTGTATAACTTCAAGTTCAATACTTTCAAAAAAACGACGCCACAATTATTGGACAGAGAGTGAAACAAACTGGCAGTGTACACCATGATTATCAATCTGTATTTTTCATACTGTTTATTGTATTTTATCTAAAATTAGAATATGATAATGTTTGAAATGAAATATAAATTCGTTCTGTGTTTTATGTGATATTGTGTAAGATTTTACTGTTAGAGAGCATTATGTGATAAAACGTTTGGCATATGACCATTTCCATAGGTCACTTCGTACGAGCCCACGACCCATATCAGCCCTTTGGACTCCGTCCCCTCGGGCTGATATGGAGTAGGCATATATAAGATAATTTCTAAATATTTCACTTTCAAAATGTATTGAACAAATTTAAGTCACTAAGATTAGGTATGAAATATAACTGGGACACTTTCTTTATATATATTTCTGTTTTATTTCAACATGTTTAATTCAACCTTTTCATTGAAAACTTGACAATATAAGGATAAGATAGAGTAAGCATTCAGTTTCGTTATGAGAAGAAACAATTATGCATTTTTCTAGACAGCTAAAACGATCAATAGAATGACGTCAGTTTCAACAAGCATACAGTTCAGTTTGCCACAGTGCATTATATTGTTTCACCTGTATTTATTAACCATGCGCAAACAAATTAACACAGAAATGTATATGACAGAGAATCCGTCTATAAACATTGAAACAATAGGATTCTGATCTATAAGCATTCATAAAGCATTATTTCGCACTATAAACATTGATAAAGCGGTATTCCATACTTTAAACATTGAATGAAAATATTGAAAGATAAAAAAAAATGTTGTACAATATGTAAGTTACAGCTTTTGAATGCATTTGTCTGTTTGTTGTTAGAAATAAGTGCTGGCTTGTCTTATTCAGTAAAATAAGTTTTTATTCCTGAATATACGAGAGAATAAAGTAAACGCTTTATAGCACAATATATTTTATTGAATTCACAACAACAAAACGTAACAGTGACAAATTAACCTTTAAGCCCCCCAAAATAATTATTGAAACTCATAGAAAATTAAATAAAAACTTAAAATAAAAACTCAAAACACGCCTTAGAGCATTTTAATCCTTAAGCGTAAAGACATACAACTTTTGTTGTAAATATTGGGTACGGTTTCTGGAGCGGAAACCAAACTAGTACACATGTGAAAGTTTTATGAACTTTTTGAAAGAAAAAAATTCCAGCAATTGCGCGAAACTTCCAGTATAAATTACATGTAGTTTCAAACTAAGTTAGTGTTATCTCATTTTCGCTTCAATAGTTCTAAGTTAAGATGTAGGTCATGTGCGGAAATAGTCAACTAGACAACAACAGCACAAATTTAAAAATAACTTTTCTGTAAGAATTCACAGAAATCTTATCGTACAAAGAACAAAAAAATCTCATAAATGTCCAACCGTTGCTTCGTCAGGCCGTCTTTTCTAATTTGTCGCAACAAGAAAAATAGAATGTTCCACTATTTGAAAGGGCCATACACATATCAACGAGCTTTCTCCTGGGATCTGTCCTGGCAACACACCTACAAGTAAAAGTAAATGCGGCATAAAGTAACCGGTGAGTAAAAGTTAAAAGGTTATTCAGATAGGTAGAGAAGTAAAAGTCAGTAGTAAGCAATTCAATCATTTATCAGGTTTCAAAATAGTTTTTATGGCCAAATATATGCAGCTTTTCATGATTTTAGTAATATTTTGCAGATATTAAATCACGTAGTTTTCAAAATCATTGTTTCTTGCTGCTAAGAGAACTTTGGTCTTATAGGGTCGATTCCGGGTAGAAACAGAGCGTGTGGTAACTTATCGCACCCTTCTTCAAATACAGTCTGCGAGTGTTAAGGGGGATAACTCGTTGATAATGTAGTTCTAAAAATGCCGTGTAAAAACTGACAGTTATTTTCCTTGAAATAAAAAACTAATAACTAGTTACTTTATAACTAACACGGGTTTCCTTAACCGAAGACATTGATACATGAGTTTTAGCATATTACAATACTTATTATGGACGGGTGGATTGAACCACGTAATGGCATGCCGCACGCTGTTGTTTTAACACACAACTTTTATTCATACCTTTCAGCTGTTTCGTTTGTCGACGTCCCGTCCTAGTAACTTCATGAACCATCCATAATCATCGAACCTGTTCGAAATTGAGGGGTATCTTTATCGTTCATAGAAATAAAAACAAAACAGAAACCATAATAAAAAAAATAGTATGTTGTTGAACTCTCACAACCTATACTGTATGTTAAACCATTACACATCATCAACTATTGGTATGGTTTAGTATACATACACCTATATACCAACAGCCCACCGACTACATACACCTATATACCAACAGCCCACCGACTACAAACACCCTACATATCCACAATCCATTCACTACATACACCCTACATATCCACACCCCATCCACTACATACCCCCTACATATCCACACCCCATCCACTATAAAACCCCTACATATCCACAACCCATCCACTACATTACACCCTACATATCCACAAACCATCCACTACATACACCCTAGATATCCACATATCCACAACCCTTTCACTACATAACCCTACATACCACCAACCCATTCACTACATACACCCTAAATATCCACACCCCATCCACTACATACCCCCTACATACCCACACCCCACCCACTACATACACCCTACATATCCACAACCCATCCACTACATTACACCCTACATATCCACAACCCATCCACTACAAACACCCAACATATTCACAACCCACCCACTATATACATTCTACATATCCACAACCCATCCACTACATACATTCTACATATCCACAACCCATCCACTACATACAACCTACATATCCACAACCCATCCACTACATACCCCCCACATATCCACAACCCATCCACTACATACACCCCACATATCCACAACCCATCCACTACATACACCCCACATATCCACCACCAATCCACTACATACACCCTACATATCCACAACCCATCCACTACAAACACCCAACATATTCACAACCCACCCACTATATACATTCTACATATCCACAACCCATCCACTACATACACCCCACATATCCACAACCCTTTCACTACATAACCCTACATACCAACAACCCATTCACTACATACACCCTAAATATCCACAACCCATCCACTACATACACCCTACATATCCACAACCAATCCACTACATACACTCTACATATTCACAACCCATCCACTATATACATTCTACATATCCACAACCCATCCACTACATACACCCTACATATCCACAACCAATCCACTACATACACCCTAGATACCCACAACCCATCCACTATATACATTCTACATATCCACAACCCATCCACTACATACACTCTACATATTCACAACCCATCCACTATATACATTCTACATATCCACAACCCATCCACTACATACACCCTACATATCCACAACCCATCCACTACATACACCCTAGATATCCACAACCCATCCACTATATACATTCTACATATCCACAACCCATCCACTACATACACCCTACATATCCACAACCCATCCACTACATACACCCTACATATCCACAACCCATCCACTACATACACCCTACATATCCACAACCCATCCACTACATACACCCTACATATCCACAACCCATCCACTACATACACCCTACATATCCACAACCCATCCACTACATACACCCTACATATCCACAACCCATCCACTACATACACCCTACATATCCACAACCCATCCACTACATACACCCTACATATCCACAACCCATCCACTACATACACCCTACATATCCACAACCCATCCACTACATACACCCTACATATCCACAACCCATCCACTACATACACCCTACATATCCACAACCCATCCACTACATACACCCTACATATCCACAACCCATCCACTACATACACCCTACATATCCACAACCCATCCACTACATACACCCTACATATCCACAACCCATCCACTACATACACCCTACATATCCACAACCCATCCACTACATACACCCTACATATCCACAACCCATCCACTACATACACCCTACATATCCACAACCCATCCACTACATACACCCTACATATCCACAACCCATCCACTACATACACCCTACATATCCACAACCCATCCACTACATACACCCTACATATCCACAACCCATCCACTACATACACCCTACATATCCACAACCCATCCACTACATACACCCTACATATCCACAACCCATCCACTACATACACCCTACATATCCACAACCCATCCACTACATACACCCTACATATCCACAACCCATCCACTACATACACCCTACATATCCACAACCCATCCACTACATACACCCTACATATCCACAACCCATCCACTACATACACCCTACATATCCACAACCCATCCACTACATACACCCTACATATCCACAACCCATCCACTACATACACCCTACATATCCACAACCCATCCACTACATACATCCTAGATATCCACAACCCATCCACTACATACACCCTACATATCCACAACCCATCCACTACATACACCCTACATATCCACAACCCATCCACTACATACACCCTACATATCCACAACCCATCCACTACATACACCCTACATATCCACAACCCATCCACTACATACACCCTACATATCCACAACCCATCCACTACATACACCCTACATATCCACAACCCATCCACTACATACACCCTACATATCCACAACCCATCCACTACATACACCCTACATATCCACAACCCATCCACTACATACACCCTACATATCCACAACCCATCCACTACATACACCCTACATATCCACAACCCATCCACTACATACACCCTACATATCCACAACCCATCCACTACATACACCCTACATATCCACAACCCATCCACTACATACACCCTACATATCCACAACCCATCCACTATATACACCCTACATATCCACAACCCATCCACTACATACACCCTACATATCCACAACCCATCCACTACATACACCCTACATATCCACAACCCATCCACTACATACACCCTACATATCCACAACCCATCCACTACATACACCCTACATATCCACAACCCATCCACTACATACACCCTACATATCCACAACCCATCCACTACATACACCCTACATATCCACAACCCATCCACTACATACACCCTACATATCCACAACCCATCCACTACATACACCCTACATATCCACAACCCATCCACTACATACACCCTACATATCCACAACCCATCCACTACATACACCCTACATATCCACAACCCATCCACTACATACACCCTACATATCCACAACCCATCCACTACATACACCCTACATATCCACAACCCATCCACTACATACACCCTACATATCCACAACCCATCCACTACATACACCCTACATATCCACAACCCATCCACTACATACACCCTACATATCCACAACCCATCCACTACATACACCCTACATATCCACAACCCATCCACTACATACACCCTACATATCCACAACCCATCCACTACATACACCCTACATATCCACAACCCATCCACTACATACACCCTACATATCCACAACCCATCCACTACATACACCCTACATATCCACAACCCATCCACTACATACACCCTACATATCCACAACCCATCCACTACATACACCCTACATATCCACAACCCATCCACTACATACACCCTACATATCCACAACCCATCCACTACATACACCCTACATATCCACAACCCATCCACTACATACATCCTAGATATCCACAACCCATCCACTACATACACCCTACATATCCACAACCCATCCACTACATACACCCTACATATCCACAACCCATCCACTACATACACCCTACATATCCACAACCCATCCACTACATACACCCTACATATCCACAACCCATCCACTACATACACCCTACATATCCACAACCCATCCACTACATACACCCTACATATCCACAACCCATCCACTACATACACCCTACATATCCACAACCCATCCACTACATACACCCTACATATCCACAACCCATCCACTACATACACCCTACATATCCACAACCCATCCACTACATACACCCTACATATCCACAACCCATCCACTACATACACCCTACATATCCACAACCCATCCACTACATACACCCTACATATCCACAACCCATCCACTACATACACCCTACATATCCACAACCCATCCACTATATACACCCTACATATCCACAACCCATCCACTACATACACCCTACACATTCACAACCCATCCACTATATACATTCTACATATCCACAACCCATCCACTACAAACACCCAACATATTCACGACCCATCCACTACATACACCCTAGATATCCACACCCCATCCACTATATACATTCTACATATCCACAACCCACCCACTACATACACCGTACATATCCACAACCCATCCACTACATACACCCTACAAACCACAACTCAGACACAACATACTTATAAATACCAACGACTCATCCACTATAAAAACCCTACATATCCACAACCCATTCACTACATATCCTTTACAACTTCACGTATATATTCCACACACTTTCCTCATCCTTCATATCCCAAACCAATACCAAGTATATGTATTATAAACCTTTCCATGTAAACTATGAAGGACCTGTGTTCTATAACTCTTATATCCAAAGCGAATATATGGTTTTGATAGTCCAAGATATTCAATCTTAATCCCTCCGTTGTTTACTCTATAAAACACCATTGTACGGGCATTTATACTTCATTTACACCCACATAACGAGGATTGATATTCTCGTAAGGGTAGCCACAAATTCAGTCCGAATATTGTTAACAAATGATAGAGAAATGAGAAAAAAAAATTCTATTGATTATTTTATATGTTGAAATTACTTGATTACGTACGTTAATCCGTTAAATGCGGTCTGGTCGAAGGCCCTTTTCCTGGTAATTGCAGCCCGTTTTCGTGACCAGGGTCCGATTGGCGCTTGCATGCATTGTGGTGGGCAAGCTGCAACTTGACTGAAAAGAAAATATTTGCAGATAGTTTAATTTACGATGCAACCCACTATATGAACATCACCATCAGAAATCCATATGAAAGCAGAAACTCTCGTGTTATAACACGTAGTGTACTTATGACGTCATATATTAACCTTATTCAACGAGAGTCTTGTCGCTTCGCTTCGGATAACATGGAGAATTCCCCTGCGTCAAACGCTCAAATGACTACGGTTAAATATTGGCGCCAATTTTAGTTAAATTGGGCGGTTCCGCCAATGTCGTTTAAAGGACGACGCATACGCAAAAAAATATTAAATAAATAAAATATTGGCAGAACAAATAAATAAAATTAAACAATTGTTCTATAGTAAAAATGTAAATATATGGATTGAACGCGCTTCATGCAATATGGATGTGACCGATTTGCGTTCATACCGGCATGAAAAGTAAAAAAAAAAAAAACGCCGTTCAATCCCTATTTAGAATCATAGAGTTATTCAAAACCCATTGCTACTAAGCTTTTTAGCTACAAACCACCTTACAAAAACTTCTCCTTCAGAGTGTTCTTGTTCTACATCTCCATAAACTAAGTTCAAAAGTCCAACATGACCACGTAATTACTAGCATTACTAACCATATCCGTAATGTAATTCTACGACAGCTCTACATTACTAACCATATCCGTAATGTAATTCTACGACAGCTCTACATTACCAATCATATCCGTAATGTAATTCTACGACAGCTCTACATTACCAATCATATCCGTAATGTAATTCTACGACAGCTCTACATTACCAATCATATCCGTAATGTAATTCTACGACAGCTCTACATTACCAATCATATCCGTAATGTAATTCTACGACAGCTCTACATTACCAATCATATCCGTAATGTAATTCTACGACAGCTCTACATTACCAATCATATCCGTAATGTAATTCTACGACAGCTCTACATTACCAATCATATCCGTAATGTAATTCTACGACAGCTCTACATTACCAATCATATCCGTAATGTAATTCTACGACAGCTCTACATTACCAATCATATCCGTAATGTAATTCTACGACAGCTCTACATTACCAATCATATCCGTAATGTAATTCTACGACAGCTCTACATTACCAATCATATCCGTAATGTAATTCTACGACAGCTCTACATTACCAATCATATCCGTAATGTAATTCTACGACAGCTCTACATTACCAATCATATCCGTAATGTAATTCTACGACAGCTCTACATTACCAATCATATCCGTAATGTAGTTCTACGACAGCTCTACATTACGAGTCAAAAGTATCCAGAGATACATTGAACTTTTGCCGACAACTGAGATGCTAATTTCGGAATAAAGATGAAGTCCGTGGAAAACTACACAGAACGAGAACATACTGAAATTAATACAGTATTTAATGGTAGCAAACACATCAATTGTCATATGAGATGATTTAAATCCCTAATATATCTTATATCACTCTCTACACATCATATATATATATATGGCTACACAAACCAACAAATTATCGGGTTTAATTTGTCCAATCTTTAAAAGTGAAATACTAACTACTCATGTTTCTGTAATATAACCTTTTCTAACACCACCTAATGTTAGGATACAGACCTACATTGTTTGTTATTGATGACATAACTTCTAAAAAATCCTGAACACAACGTTGTTCCACCACTGCAAGTATTTTTCAAAACTTGTAACGACCATTCTCAAAACCATTAAAGCAATTTTACAGTCGTATTGTGACATTGTTTGCTCCAAAAGTGGATTTGATCGAATGTTGATTAAGAAGATAATCCAAATATATTTTAATTCATCTCCAACATATCATTTTTTTCTTTATCAGTAGATACGACGTTTTCAACCTACACCATATCTCATTCTAAAATGTAGAAACTTTTCGTTTATTTATCACGAGAGCTTTCTTTTAATGGACAGCGAACGGCGTTACACATTCATGATTGTTATTCATTCGAAACATATTTTGTGAAACGACGACAAAAGCAAATATTATGTTATATATTGAGGCTGAACTGGTGAGTATGATTAAGTTCCTGGTAAACAATAAATTATTATATAGTTCAAACGACTAACATTCTATGCGTAAAACGGGCATTGCTGACCAGACTCGTACGAGCAAGGAGACAAGGTATTCACGATTATACTTGTAGAAGTAAACAAGCAAGGCACCGAAGACTAGACCATTTCCGGTAAACTACATATAACTAGCTATAGACATTGACGCCTAGACTGATCTAAGAAGGCACCGAAGACTAGACCATTTCCGGTAAACTACATATAACTAGCTATAGACATTGGCGCCTAGACTGATCTAAGAAGGCAATGAGGACTAGACCCCTTCTGGTAAACTACATATAACTAGCTATAGGCATTGGCGCCTATACAGATCTAAGAAGGCACTGAGGCCTAGACCCCTTCTCGTAAACTACATATAACTATCTATAGACATTGACGCCTAGACGGATCTAAGAAGGCACTGATGGCTAGACCCCTTCTGGTAAGCTACATATAACTAACTATAGGCTTTTCCACATATAACTAGCTATAGGCATTCACGACTAAACTGATCTAAGAAGGCACAGAGGACTAGACCCTTTCTGGTAAACTACATATAACTAGCTACAGACATTGACGCCTAGACAGATCTAAGAAGGCACTGAGGACTAGACCCCTTCTCGTAAACTACATATAACTAGCTATAGGCATTGACGACTAAACTGATCTAAGAAGGCACAGAGGACTAGACCCCTTCCGGTAAACTACATATAACTAGCTATAGACATTGACGCCTAGACTGATCTACATGTGTAAGAAGGCACAGAGGACTAGACCCTTTCTGGTAAACTACATATAACTAGCTATAGACATTGACGCCTAGACTGATCTACGTGTGTAAGAAGGCACTGAGGACTAGACCCCTTCTCGTAAACTACATATAAGTAGCTATAGACATTGACGCTAAGACTGATTTAAGAAGGCACTGATGGCTAGAGCCCTTCTGGTAAACTACATATAACTAGCTATAGGCATTGACGCCTGGACAGATCTAAGAAAACACTGATGGCTAGACCCCTTCTGGTAAACTACATATAACTAGCTATAGGCATTGACGCCTGGACAGATCTAAGAAAACACTGATGGCTAGACCCCTTCTGGTAAACTATATATAACTAGCTATAGGCATTGACGCCTAGACAGATCTAAGAAGGCACTGATGGCTAGACCCCTTCTGGTAAACTACATATAACTAGCTATAGTCATTGACGCCTAGACAGATCTAAGAAGGCACTGATGGCTAGAACCCTTCTGGTAAACTACATATAACTAGCTATAGGCATTGACAACTAGACTGATCTAAGAAGGCACTGATGGCTAGACCCCTTCTGGTAAACTACATATAACTAGCTATAGGCATTGACGCCTGGACAGATCTAAGAAAGCACTGAGGACTAGACCCCTTCTGGTAAACTATATATAACTAGCTATAGGCATTGACGACTAGAATGATCTAAGAAGGCACTGAGGACTAGACCCCTTCTCGTAAACTAAATATAACTAACTATAGGCATTGACACTAAGACTGATCTAAGAAGGCACTGATGGCTAGACCCCTTCTGGTAAACTACATACAACTAGCTATAGGCATTGACGCCTTGACAGATCTAAGAAGGCGCTGAGGACTAGACCCCTTTTGGTAAACTACATATAACTAGATATAGGCATTGACGACTAGACTGATCTAAGAAGGCACATATGACTAGATCCCTTCTGGTATAGCTATAGGCTTTGACGACTAGACTGATCTAAGAAGGCACTGATGGCTAGACCCCTTCTGGTAAATTACATATAACTAGCTATAGGCATTGACGCCTAGACAGATCTAAGAAGGCACTGAGGGCTAGACCCCTTCTGGTAAGCTACATATTACTAGCTATAGACATTGACGACTAGACTGATCTAAGAAGGCAATGAGGGCTAGAGCCCTTCTGGTAAGCTACATATAACTAACTATAGGCTTTGACGCATAGACTGATCTAAGAAGGCAATGAGGGCTGGAGCCCTTCTGGAAAGCTACATATAACTAGCTATATGCATTGACGCATAGAAACCTACAGGTAACTAACTAGGCAATGATGACTAGACTATTGATTATTAGACTACTACTAACCTCAGCTAAGCTTACATGACATTGGTGGTAAGATAGCTTCAGGTAACCTTACAAGATATTGACAAGACTAGACACCTATACATAATGTACATTGCAAAAGATAACCTAAAGGAACCGTTTATAAATCTGAGAATAAACCTTGTGTACATATCAATCGATGTTGACTTAATTTTCAACAATTGATCAATTGCCCAATACACAGTTTCAGAAGTAATTGGATAACAAATGCAAATATCTGTTTATAAACACCCCAACACTTCTGTCTACTTTCGCTATTACTCTTAATGGTATACATATGCAAGACCACACACTTGTGCTTTTCTAACGAATCAGAAAGCACTAGTTTATTGCGCGGACGAATATATACGTCCACGCATTAAATGAGTGTTCTCTGATTCGTTAGAAAAACACAAGTGTGTGGTCTTGCTTTTATCAAATACCTTCCGTATTTGGTAGAGATCGATACAAAGATTTTATAAACTTTGATACTTTTTGCAAATACCGGGAACTTTTCAGTTCGCCATGTGCAATACAGAACGTTGTATTTCATGGTCTGAAAATTGCTTGTATTACTATAACAAGATTTAACAGGTATGTGATAAAATCCTAGTATTTCACACTTAACCACATTTCACTTTACATCAAATTTTAACAGTTTTCGGCCTGCTAAGCGTCACTCCCTTGGTTCCCCTTTCTCCTCGCCGCCGGTATAGATAATCAACGTATGCAATTGCACGTGCTTTCAGTGATTTAAGATTCTATAGGACAGTGACATACAACCGTACATCACTTTTCCTCATATTC